AAAACTAGCATGGATGAGGTCATTTGATGCCAGTGAGACTTCTTGGAAACAACATCTTCTTGTTCATAATGAATACATTTAAAATAATATGAGTTTCTTTTCTGGGGGAATTGTGTGGTGTGCCCTCAGCGCCCACACCAGCTGCCGTGTGTCCAAGTGACTCCATGTAGACAGCGCACAGGATCCTCTGACTTCTTCCACATGCCTCAATTCAGCCCACTACCCACTCCCACCTTAGGGGGTAGCAGGCATGGTCCTTTTTCCCATTTTATGGATGAGGAAACTGAGGCTTTCACACATACAAAATTTGCTTAAGAGCTTGGATTGGAATAAACCTCAGTGCTGTCAACTCTAGAGCTGAGCTCATAACCACCACCCTAGGTGCCTCCAAAGCACACAGCTAATGCCAAATAATTGGTGGCAATTATTATCATATTATTTTCTCCAAGTGCAACTGATTAGGGCTGGAACTCCACAGGGGTCCTCAGATGAGATGCCAACTGCTACAGACCTGGCTGGCTGCCGGTCTTCTCCCTGTCGTGCACTAGCAGGGGCTATGCCATTCCTGGTTGGTTTCCAGGCAGCCATTTCCTGACAGTTCACCCAGCCCCTGCTTGCCACATTCCCTCTGTGGGACGCCCCCTCACGCCCCCTCTCAGTCCCTTTGTGATCTCCTGAAGCACATCACCACCCGTCTCTTTCCTCCTTGGTTTAGGAGATAAGAGCGAGTAATTGTCTTTTATAGACACTGCAATGAAGCCTGTCATCACACAAAAGAAGTTTGCTAATAAAATAAATCAAAGCAGCAATGGAAATGAATGGGGAGCAGCTTTTACAATTAGATTTGTACTTGTCTAGTGGCATGGTCCTTCTGTGAGAAGACAACTCCTCCTCCCAGGAAGTAAAAGGGTCAGGGTGGGACAACAGGGCTCCAGAGTGGGAGGGAGGTGGGGAGGAGCCAGGGATGCTGGCTGGCACCAGGCAAAACATGCCACAAGGAGAGGGGCTGCAAAAATGTCACCTCTGTGGCCTGCATTTGTTCCCATCTCGAACTTTGTGGGTCCTATGCCAGTTGGAACCTGGCTGCAGCCCACACTACAGCTCCCTTCTCTCTGCCACCAGCTGGACCCCCTGCCAGCGGGTGAAAGGACAATGCCTTGGATGGCCAGACCCCAAATAGCACCCGGTGACTTTGGCCCACCCACCTGGCCCCATCAGGCCCTGTTAGTTCCAGAGTTTGCTACCAAGTCAGCTGGAAAACTAGACCAGACGATAGGAAACCCAGTGGTGTTGGACCGAAGGGCAACATTGCATGAGTTCAAGATGGTGGTGTTTCTCCTGCTATGAGTAGAAATGACTCACGATCATCTAGATTGCTGGGGCCCAAGCTTTAAGCTCAGTGCCTTTTGTGAGTTGTCTCTAGGCACTGAACTACATCCCCAGGTCCCCAGTCCTTGAATTTTTTAAGTAAAGGGGAAAAAATGTTTCCTCCTACATTTTCCACAGCCTTGGAAATGACTGTCCACACCCATGGGGGGAGCAAGGCCCCCAGCTGAATGACTTACCCAAGGTCCCATGGCTGGCCTGGGAGCATTAGGACCTGAACGTGGGTGAGGCTGCAGTGTGTGCTCACTGTGTCCACACCTCGGTTGTCTGGGTCTCAAATGGCCATTGCTTTGCCATGAAGGAAGGGAGGGGCCTGAGGATTCACAGAGTGACCTAGACCCTGGGCAGATCTGCAAGGCCTGGGCCCTGGGACCAGCTGCCTGTTCCCCACCCCAAGGCAGGTGGCCACACCACCCTGCCTCTGTCATTCATCTCCCTGGAAAGAGAGGCCCCCCCTCCCCAGCCAGTCTCAGGACCCTCTCTCTCCAGTGGGAGAGTTGAGAGTTGTTTGTCACAAGAGAGAGGTGACCGAGTGATGACTGTGACAGTGACATGTTTTCTGGCTTCCCGCTTCACCCAAGACAAAATCCAGTCAGGATCCAGCCGGAAAGAGATGGAAATGGGACCTCGTACCCAAGAAAGAGCAAAACCTGCTTCAGGCCCAGGACTTGTATTCTTGCTAAGATTATCAAAAGACACAGGGCATTTCCTCGTGATACGAAAGCATCCATGACAAAAAGGCTCACCCTTCCCTCTGGTCAGATCCTTGTCCCCACGGCTGACATTCACTCATTTGCTCCTCTGTGAACTCTGCAGGGACAGAATACGTGGCTGGTACGGGCAGAGCACTGTGCTAGACACTGGGGGTCTGAAGGCGAAGATGACAGATGAGCCCCCTGCCCACACTGACCTGAGGCTAGGGGTTTGCAGAGAGTCTGGTAAGGACTCTCACATTAAAGTGACAGAAAGCCATCTTAAACTGGTAGTAGCCAGGAAGAAGGTTGGGGACTGTCTTCATCATGACTGAACCCAGGTCTCCGACTGTCCGACTCCCTCTCCACCCTCCCTCTGTGTCGGCTAGATCACAGGCAGGTCCCCCTTCACTGTGTGGGGGCAGAGATGGCCACTGGCAGCTGCAGCACAGGGTCCCCTTTGTCCTCCATCCCAGAAAAAAACGTGATTCTCTCAGATGAAGCACCCATAAAGTGCTCTATCACAGCTGGGTATAGTGATACACACCTGAGATCCCAGCCACCTGGGAGGCTAAGACAAGTTTGAGGCCAGCCTTACCAGCCTAGAGGCCCTCAGCAACTTAGTGAGACCCAGTCTCAAAATACAAAATAAAAAGGGGCTGGGATGTGGCTCAGGGTTACGCACCCCTGGGTTCCATCCTCACATTGCTCTGCCTTACGCCTACTTCAGAGCCCACAAGGCTGAGCCCTGCAGCTGGCCCCCTGGTCCCAGGGCCCCAAACAGAACAGTCGAGGGGACAGTCCCGAGAACAAAGAAGGTGTGCAGGATAGGGAAAAACGACACATGCCAATTACAGGGGGATCAGATCTGAGGGGTCACTATGTGGATAATTAAGATTGCACCCCCAATAAAAAACGACGGAGGCCAAGTGCAGGCACTGTGTGTGCCCATAAAGGACGGTGCCCACATCAGGCAGAGGGAGAAGTCTATGGCATGAGCCGGGCTGTCAGAGGGAGGAGTGTGGTGGGCAAGAGATGGGTGGAGTGAGACAGCAAACGCCACCATGTTGACATCTGTGTATGAGATACTGTGGGTGGCCTGCGCTGGAGTGCTCCCAAAGGAGTCAGGGTGGGGGAGCAGATTTAGATGAACAACTGTCTGTCTCTCTAGAGGGCCTTTTCATTGAGTCTGCCCCAGTGCATTGTGTCCTGAGCAAGGGAGCCATGGCATAAACCCAGCACTGGAAGCCAGGACTCCTCCTGGGCTCCATGCATCTGTGGAACCTGAGAACATGTTGGATGCCTGAAACCTTTAGGCAGATCAAGGTCACCCTGGTTCCTCAGGAACCTCCAGGCTGATGGTCAGTGTGGTCAGGGCCAAGGGATCCAGAGGTCTTGGCAAAGAGGCTTTGAAAATGGATCACCCGTTGGTACAAAAACTCCCCTGCCAGACAGAGCTGGAGACGCAGCCTCGTTAGCTAATGCAAGCTTAATATGGAGCCAAGGAAGTGGACGCCAGCCCACTCAACTGCCCAGGAGACAGTCAAAAATCGAGTCCCCCTCCTGCTCAGCCCGCTCTACCACCAAGAGGCAGAAGGCAGCCCAGCAGCGACCCGGCAGTATCCACCAGACAAAGGGACACTTCCACATCAATCTCTTTGTACAAGGGAAGAGTTATTGTTATGGGATCCTGGCACCTGATCAATATCTCCGGCTTTGAAAATAAACTTCTTGGCTTGGCCTTGACATTAATCTACCATCAGGAGCCCATTATCTTGAAGCCAATGTTCTGTTCTATTGACTTGCTCAATTTTTTTTTCCTCCCCCAAGATCAGAAAGTAATTGCGTCCCTCTAGGCAGCATCTTCGACTAATGCTGCTCCATGCAGACCCCTCTGCATGGGGCTGGGTACATCTGAGCTGGGGATGGAGACAGCAGGAAGTAGCAGAAAGCCCCTTATACGTGAACCACTGGCAGAACAGCCCTGCTAAGTCCCAGACTCATCGGGACAGAGGCCCAACCCCCAATGCCCCCTCAAGCAGTTCAAGCTTTAAAGGGGGCTCTTTTGCACAGAATTAGGGTTGTGGATGTCTCCACGTCTGCCCAGATCCAGCCGGTCTCACCATGGCCACAGCCTCCCCTCCCAAAAGCCATGAAGGCTTCAAATCTAGATGACTGTCACCAGAGCCTCTGAAGCCTTCACCACCGCAGGCCTGCACCCTCCGTGAACTTCTCTACCCCACAGTCACCGCCTTGCTTTGCCATCCAGTAGCACACATTGTCATGAGAAACTGTCCTCGTGTTGCCTGCCTGCTGCCACCAGACAGCATTACTCTAGACGTGCATCTTAACACAGAGAACCGTTACTGTCTCCTAGTTGCTTTTGGTCTGGAGTTGGGGAGTGGCCTTGCTGAATAGTTCTGGCTCAGGTCTACCATGAGGTGGTAGCATGGTACCACCTCAGGAAATAAGCCAGGGCCACTGTCAACTGTAGGCTTCACTAGGACTGGAACATCCACTTCTAAGATGGCACACTGGTGTGACTGGCACTTGGGCCTGGTTGATGGGAGACTCAGCTGTCCCTACATGGATCTCTTTCCCCCACCCCATGCCAAGATTGAACCCAGGGCCACACACATGCTAGGCAAACACTCTACCACTGCCCCAAACAGATGTATCTCTTAGCTCCTCCAAGCCTCAGTTTCTGCATCTGTAAAATGGCCCCCTGCCTAGTGTCTAAGCCGTCGGCTGTCTTTACTGCTGTTGCTATGATTGTGTTTGCCCACGTCACTCCCTCTGTGATGGGGCTGTGGCAGACCCTCGGGCTGATGCTGTCTTTGAACACACTGATAGGTGTTAGCCTTTGAAGGGACAGTGAATTGAGGCAGAAGCATGATCTTTTTTCTCCCTCTCACCCTGCAGGTGTGGATGTGTGGGGGCCGCATGGAGGACATCCCCTGCTCCAGGGTGGGACATATCTATAGGAAGTATGTACCCTACAAGGTCCCTGCTGGAGTCAGCCTGGCCCGGGTAAGATGGTGGTTTTCCTGGGGGTGGGAGTTGCAGGGGTAGGTTTAGGTTGACCAACAGCCCTGAGGCACCTTAGTACCCCAGACTGAGTGATCACTAGGACTGAGGCTGTGTCCCCCATTCTCCAGGCAGAGTTCCATTTAAAAGAACTTACTTAAAGCCCTGCTTACCCACCTAAAGGCTGTGTGACATCAGGCGGATTGCTTAACTCCTCTGAACCTATGTTTCCCTCTTTGTTAAAGGGAGCTAATTCCTTTTAACTTTCAGCCTTGTCAGGAAAATTAAGGAGATGATACAGTGTCCCAAAGTGTGACACATAAAATTATCTTAGGTGTTAGGCATAGGAACATTTTTATTTTCATGTGTTTAAGTTGATGTGGATTAAAAATTAATGTGTATTGCGGTAGCAAACTTGTGACTTCACAAATATTAGGGATAAAACAGAAAGTGTGAAGTTAGATCACAGGTGATTTAAAGAAACATGATAAATACTAATACAGTTGGTGTGCTGCGTTCTGGGAAACCTAAGACAGAGTTTAAAAGACCCCATTTGGGGGGGGGGGGTGTGCTAACAGATACCTTTCTCTTCTTCCCCCTCTTCCCAGTCCCATTGCCAAAGTCTATGTGCCAGGCTATTTCACTGTCCTAAAACGGTTTGTATCAATCGTTGCTTGAATTAAATTGGCCACTGGCTGCAAATGGAAATGCTTGACAGATTGGGGGGAGAGGGGAGGAGCGGTATTAAATGTCTTGGGCAAAGCACAAATTAAGGCGACCACAAAAGAGAAAGGAGGGAAGGTCCCCGGAATGCAAAGAACCGCGGGAGGTTTGGGGGTGAGCCTCCGCGGAGCCCCAAAGCCAAGAGACCCGTGTGAACCCGTCCAGCTTCACCCAACGCCGCCTCCTTCTGGCCAGGCTGCAACCTCCTTCCTCCTCCCTGTCACCCAGAGTCCTTGTCCAGTGACTTGTAAGGAAAACAGAGGCTCAAAGGACTCATCAGAGGCTGGGAGCTGAGCTCTGGACGCGCCAGGCTGCTTTGGGGCTGGCGTGGAGGGAAAGGAGAGCCGGCAGTGCCCTCTAGTGCTAGAATTTCTAACCACAGCCTCCCGAGCCTTCAGCGCTTTCCACAGCCTCATTGGGTGCTAGGGGCTTGGGTTATAAATCCAGCCCTGGGAGGCACAAATCACTTCATGGAAGCCTTCCCTAAGGATGCCGGCTGCGCCAATCCCTGAGCAGGACCAACCCCAAAGCATCCTTTTCCTATCCAGAACTGTCTTTTAAAAGGCCCCGTGAGAAAGATACTACCATCTCCTCATTGAACCACAAATGAATGCAATGTGTAGTAGCTAGTTGCAGTAACACTTTCTTTTATTAAGGAAAAAAAAAAAAACTTCCTTCAAACCAGTCATCTTGCAAAGCATCTTCCAAACCTCCATTCTACCTGGTTTTTAATCTCCACTTTAGAGATGAAAAAAGTGAAACACTAATACGAGCAAGAATTCAAACCTGTTTAAGTCTGACAGGTGCCTGGCACATAGCGATGGTTCCTAAAACTGTGACTGCTACTGTTGGTGTCAATGTTAGTGCCAGCATCAGTATCAACAGTTAAGGCTAAAGCTATATCTCAATGTCTTATCTGAGTTCTGGGTTTAGGCATTTTAACTTCTTTTTTTTAATTAATTTTTTATTTATATATGACAGCAGAATGTATTACAATTCATATTACACATAAAGAGCAGAAATTTTTCATATCTCTGGTTATATACAAAGTGTACTCACACCAATTCGTATCTTCATACATGTACCTTGGATAATGATGTTCATCGCATTCCACCATCATTCATAACCCCATGCCCCTCCTTTCCCCTCCCACCCCTCTGCCCTATCTAGAGTTCATCTATTCCTCCCTTGCTCCTTCTCCCTACCCCATTATGAATCAGCCTCCTTAAATCAGAGAAAACATTCAGCATTTGGTTTTTTGGGATTGGCTTACTTCACTTAGCATTTTCTCCTCTAACTCCATCCATTTATCTGCAAATACCATGATTTTATTCTCTTTTATTGCTGTGTAATATTCCATTGTTTATATATGCCACATTTTTTTTATCCATTCATCTATGAAGGTCATCAAGGTTGATTCCACAGTTTAGCTATTGTGAATGTTTTTAAGTCCTTTGGGTATAGACGGAGGAGAGGGATAGCCGGGTCAAATGGTGGTTCCATTCCCAATTTTCCAAGGAATCTCCATACTATTTTCCATATTGGCTGCACCAATTTGCAGTCCCAACAGCAATGTATGAGTGTACCTTTTTCCCCACATCCTCACCAACACTTATTGTTGTTTGTCTTCATAATAGCTGCCATTCTGAGTGGAGTGAGATGAAATCTTAGAGTAGTTTTTTTGTTTGTTTGTTTAGAGAGAGAGAGAGGAGAGAGAGAGAGAGAGAGAATTTTTTAATATTTATTTTTCAGTTTTTGGTGGACACAACATCTTTATTTTATTTTATGTGGTGCTGAGGATCGAACCCAGCGCCCCGCGCATGCCAGGGGAGTGCATTACCGCTTGAGCCACATCCCCAGCCCTTAGAGTAGTTTTGATTTGCATTTCTCTAATTGATAGTGATGATTTGTTGATTGATTATATATCATCTTCTGAGAAGTGTCTGTTCAGGTCCTTGGCCCATTTATTGATTGGGTTATTTGTTTTGGTTTTGGTTTTGGTTGTTTTTTTGTTTTGTTTTGTTTTGTTTTTGGGGGGGGGAGGGTGGTGCTTAACTTTTTGAGTTCTTTATATACCCTAGAGATTAGTGCTCTATCTGATGTGTGAGGGGTAAAAATTTGCTCCCAAGATGTAGGCTCTCTGTTCAACTCACAGAATGTTTCTTTTGCTGAGAAGAAGCTTTTTAGTTTGAATCCATCCCACTTATTGATTCTTGATTTTAATTCTTGCACCAAAGGAGTTTTATTAAGGAAGTTGGGGCCTAATCCCACATGATGGAGAGTAGGGCCTACTTTTTCTTCTATTAGACGCAGAGTCTCTGGTTTTATTCCTAGATGCATGGTCCATTTTGAGTTGAGTTTTGTGTTTGATGAGAGATAGGGGTTTAATTTCAGTTTGTTACATATGGATTTCCAGTTTTCCCAGCACCATTTGTTGAAGAGGCTGTCTTTTCTCCAATGCATGCTCTTGACACCTTTGTCTAATATAAGATAATTGTAATTCTGTGAATTAGTCTCTGTGTCTTCTATTCTGTACCATTGGTCTACCAGTCTGTTTTGGTGCCAATACCATACTGTATTTGTTATTATTGCTCTGTAGTATAGTTTAAGGTCTGGTATAGTGATGCCACCTGCTTCACTCTTCCTGCTAAGGATTGCTTTAGCTATTCTGGGTCTCTTATTTTTCTAGATGAATTTCCTGACTGCTTTTTCTATTTCTATGAGGAAATTTTGATCAGAGGGATTTTGATCAGAATTGCATTAACTCTGTTTAGTGCTTTTGGTAGTATGATCATTTTGATAATATTAATTCTGCCTACTCAAGAACAAGGGAGATCTTTCCATCTTCTAAGGTCTTCTTTGATTTTTTTCTTTAGGATTCTGTAGTTTTCATTACATGGATCTTTCACCTCTTTCATTAAGTTAATTCCTGAGGTGTTTTTTTGTTTTGTTTTGTTTTGTTTTGAGGCTATCATAAATGGGGTACTTTTCCTCATTTCCCTTTCTGAGGATTTGTCACTGATATACAGAAATACATTTGATTTATGGGTGTTGATTTTATATCCTGCTACATTGCTGAATTTATTTACTAATTCTAGAAGTTTTCTGGTGGAACTCTTTGGGTCTTCTAGGTATCAAATCATATTATCAGCAAATAGTGCCAATTTGAATTCTTCTTTTCCTATGTGTATCTCTTTAATTTCTTTCATCTGTCTAATTGCTCTGGCCAGTGTTTTAAGAACTATGTTAAATAGAAGTGGTGGAAGAGGGCATCCCTGTCTTGTTCCAGTTTTTAGAGGGAATGCTTTCAGTTTTTCTCCATTTAGAATGATGTTGGCCTGGGGCTTAACATAGATAGCCTTTATGATGTTGAGATATGCTCCTGTTATCCCTAATTTTTCTAGTGTTTTGAACATGAAGGGGTGCTGTATTTTGCCAAATGCTTTTTCTGTGTCTATTGAGATGATTATATGATTCTTATCTTTAAAGTCTATTGATGTGATGAATTATATTTATTGATTTTCATATGTTGAACTAACCTTGCATCCCTGGAATGAATCCGACTTGATCATGGTGTACTATCTTTTTGTTTTTGTATTTGATTTGTCAGAATTTTATTGAGAATTTTTGCATCTATGTTCATTAGAGATATTGGTCTGAAGTTTTCTTTTTTTGATTGGTCTTTGCCTGGTTTGGGGATCAGGGTGATATTGGCCTCATAGAATGAGTTTGGAAGTGCTGCCTCTTTTTCTATTTTCTGAAATAAATTAGAGAGTTAGTTCTTCTTTAAAGGTCTTGTAGAACTCGGCTGTGTATCCATCCAGTACTGGGCTTTTCTTGGTTGGTAGACTTCTGATGGCGTCTTCTATTTTGTCACTTGAAATTGATCTGTTTAAATTGTGTATGTCATCCTGATTCAATTTGGATCAATCATATGACTCTAGAAATTTGTCAATGTCTTTGAAATTTTCTATCTTATTGGAGTAGAAGTTTTCAAAATAATATCTAATTATCTTCTGTATTTCTGTGGTTCTGTTGTGATATTTCCTTTTTCATTATGTATATTAGTGATTTGAGTTTTCTCTCTCCTTCTCTCCATTAGCATGGCTAAGTGTCTGTCAATTTTATTTATTTTTTCAAAGAATCAACTTTTTGTTCTGTCAATGTTTTCAATTGTTTCTTTTGTTTCAGTTTCATTGATTTCAGCTCTGATTTTAATTATTTCCTGTCTTCTACTGATTTTGGTGTAGATTTGTTCTTCTTTTTCTAGGGCTTTGAGA